AACATTCTTAAATGACTGCTTTGTACTGAACACTGTTCCTGAAAGCTGGGGATCACGAAATAAAGCCATGGGATTTCTCCGATTTCAAAAACCATATAGCTTAGGGACTAGGTAGGCGCCCAGAAAACATTGTCAGTCTTTGAGAAGGATGCAGTAATGGAGAGGGCTGTGTGGAAGGTGTGGCAAGAAAGCAATGTCCCTGAGGGGTTACTTCTGCTGAGGCTCAAATGAGGGACTGTGGGAAGATGGCAGGGAGGGGAAGATTGCTGGAGCATAAAGGCTGGACATGTAAGAACCGGCGCTGAGTGGTTAGGGAAGACACAAAGCTTAACAGGGGCTTTTATTCAATATTGAATAATTATAAATATTATTGTATGTGTGTGTGTCTATTTGCATAAATACAGTTTATTATTCCATTGTCTACAGGATAGGAGAGTGGAAAAATAACAAGCTGAAAACAGAACATCAGAAAGGATATGGCTCCAAATACTCTGGTGGACTGAGTATTCTGTGGACTGGCCCCATGAGAAAGATGTGTGTGAAGGCCAAGAATTAAATATGAAAAGTAGGGGACATGTTAAGAGTTAGCATTAGAAAAGTGTGTGTTGTCCTCATTGATAGCCACTAGCAGTGAAATTCTTGTGGATTTGGTGCCTGCTGAGTGACCTTTTTCCTTGAAAGATCAGCAATGTTGCCTGCTGTTCTGTGGTTATTTCTAGTTGAGCAATTGAGCATTAAAGGTTTTAATAGAAACCGTGTGCAACTGTGTTGCCCACTGAGGGCATCAGCCCCTGAGATGCTGTGGCATTTGTCAATCCCTTCTTGTGTTCTGGCACGTAGGGGCCATTAACTCAGGGCTGACTGTTCTGGTGAACTGTTCTGTCAGGTAATGAGTTGGAGACAATGGAGGTAATGATTCAGAGACTAGTTTGGTGTCTGCCAAGGCTAGGTGAAATCCCAGCTCTTTTGTTTGTTTTAACTCCCAATCCTCAGCAAAGCTCAGAAAGTGGCGGAGTATGTTGAAGATGGTTAACTGCACACAAGATGAGTTCTTGCCCAGACTGATGTAGGCGTGGCAGGACCAAGACTTCACCACTCCTGTGGCTAGACACTTTCTTTGCTCCTTTTCTCTCTCTTGAATTTTTTTTTCTGATTCTTTGTGATTTTCACATCATGGACCCCAATCTCACTCATCTGGCCGTCCCTTCATATCTGCCCTCTGCCCTTGCAGCCTACCTTCCCAAAAGAAAAACAAACAAACAAAACTCAATCTGCCATGGGAGCTGCAGTGTGCGTCCTGGGGTGTCACACAGCGCATCCTTTTACACAAACACTTTTACTTGCAAATGTTCATTGCAATGAGGCCTGTTTTGAGGCCTCCGGCTACTGCTACACTATCAATACTGGATCCTCACTGGGACTCCTCTCGGATAGCTTCTTGTTGCCCTGCGTCATGGAGATCCTGTAGCTTTGGATTTGCAGGGACTGCAAGACCTGCCCCTTGAAGCACATGCTTCAGCAGTTCATAGATGGAGTAGATTCTTGGCTGGGCCAACTCAGGCCCCGGTGGCAGCTGAGTTGGTCAGCCCACCTTCTCTCCTGCACCCACACTACCGTGCCAGCTTTTCTGCTTTGCCCAGACAAGGGGAAGCATAGCTGTCCTGCTCATATCCTCAGGGCTGGCTCACTTGCCCCAGCCACCATGTCCAGCTCTGTATTATTCCTACCCCATATGGTGCATCACGTGAAGGGCAGGGCCAGCTCACTCACAGGTGGGCCCTAGGGTTTTTCTCTATTTCCTATTAAGCCTGTGTACTGGCTTTCATTATTATCTTTTAAAGATGGGCTAGAAGTGTAGTGTGTATTTCTTCTGGGGCTCAAGAATTACTTATGGGGAATGTCTTACAAAAAAAACCAAGACAGAGCTTATTTTAAGTTTGATTTTATTATTAATTTTCTGGTTTCAACCCACTACTGTCAGAGAACATTGTTTATATTATTTCTACCTTACGGGACTTACTCCACCCTCTTTGTGGTGATGCCTCATTGTATGCGGGCTCTGCGTGTATTTGAGCTAAGATGAGATTAGGAATGTCAAGGTGTGACGGTTGTAGACTCTATGTGCAATTGAGTAGAAAGTGCATTCTCCAATAGCAAGATACAAATTTTAGGATGCATCTAGGAACCACTTCTTATGCTATTCAGGTCTTCTATATCCTTATTTATCTTTTGCCTTCCATGTGACTCATCTTAGACCGAGAGTGACATATATTAAATTACCCTATCATGCTTCTGTTTCTTAGTGAACTTTCTATAGCTTCTGTTATACAAGTTGCTGCTGTATTGTTATTTGGTTTGTGTTTAAATCTATCAAATGCTTCTTGTGAATTTTGTCCCTCGGCATAAATCAGCCCTTCTTTGTTCTGTTTTATGTTCTTCAGCCTGCATTTTACCTTGTAATAGATCAAGATTGAAACCAGTGCTTTCTGTTGCTGTTCCTTTGCATTGGTTTTGTGGGCCACTGCCAAGCTCTGCATCTTTTACTTCTGAAATCACTTTGCGTTAGGAGTGTTTCTTGTACTCGGCAGAATTGTGGTTTGCCAATATTGTCTGTTTGATTGGCAATGCTATATTCTTTCCAGCATGCAAATGCAATTCTATAAAATATTTCTTTCTTCTCTGCCCTTGCCCCCTTTTTTCTTTACTAGAGACAAGTCTCACCCTTATCTCCTTGGTAGCAGCAGTTTGGGATCTATCTGGACTGCTGCCTCCTCCTAAACCATCCATCTCAGCTGGATCCTCATTTTTAATTCTGCCCTGTTGTTCCTCATATCCCAGCAGGACAGGCTCTGCATCTACCACCCAGGATGCTCTGCCTCTCCCACCCAGGATGCTCTGCAAATAACTCATCAGTGGTAGACTTAAACAGCAGTGCAATGGTATTAAGCTTTAAAAACCCACTCTCCTGTGTGTATAGCCACACATAATGGAATTCCAAGTATCACTAAAGCCTGAGGTTTCTCAGAATAGTCTGATAATTGACTGACCTCATGTTGTTTATAGGTCATACATGTTACAGCATATAAGTCAACTGCTAGAAAGAACAACAGAAAAAAAACCTTCCTCCAAGGTATTAATAACTTCTGTGATGTTTCTGGAAATTTCTAGGTCCTCCTTTTTTTTTTTTTTCTTCTCGTAGAATGGGGATAACAGCAACACCTCAGAGAGCTCAAAGGAGGATTCACGAGCATTAAGAAGTCAGATATTAAGCAGGTAATATGAAGAACGAAGCAAGGAATTCTGTGACAGCCCTAAGTAAGAGCAACCAGAATGAGAAAGAGCGTTTGTTCCCTTGTCAAAGTGTGAAGCACTTCTGGGCTCCTGCTCCTTACAGCCCTTCATGCAGCAGTGGGCACAAAAGTAGCCACCATTTTTTTTTAAGGAATGCATCATTTAAATGTGAAATTTCACAATAGTCAATACAATTATTTCAAATGGATTAAAATGGTAGACTATTAAAAGAAACATGTATGATCTGAGCGCACCTGTAAGCTGTTACTTTGCAACCGCCAGACAGAATGAATTAACAGAAAACATAGTGCAAGATGAGCACGCTGTAGATTGCGAATTCATTATATGTGAAACTTGACATTAGATTCTTCAGCGAAAGCAGTTATTTGATTAGGTGGGTAGGACCCAAGGGAGGAGAAAATTCTGAGCAGTTAGGAAATCAGCTGCAGGCCCAGGGAGTCAGTGGAAATGGAGGGGAAACTGAAACAGAGAGATGGCAGGGCTTTGAAGGACTACCTCCTCATTCTACGTGGTCTGACTTTCCTCTCCATGCTGCTAGCTGGCTCTGATGAGCACGCCGTCCCTGTGCTGAAATGAGGGCACCAGCAAGGGTGCTGCGGAGGAGGGCAGAGGGATGTTACAGGTGGCTGGGGCCAGAAGAGCCCTAGCAGCTTCCTTAGCGTGAACTTACTGGGACGAGAGAACTAAAACCCACGTGGAGTGAGGGGGCAAGGAGTCAGTTTTCTCCCCGCCCCAATCGCTTCTGCTTTTCCCCATCAGCAACTGTGAACCTGGCCAAATACTTCGCATTCGTGGGAGTTGCAGCTGTCCCACACATGTTGTAAGTAAGGACCAGCAGAGCTGCTTCTAATTTTAGCAGCTTCATGTGGATGCAAAGGTTACTAAGGAGTCCCCGTTTGCTGGCTCAGTTCCTCAGCCTTTCTCTTTCCCTCTCCCTCTCCTCTCTTCTTCTTAATTCTCTTCTTTGATAACTTTTCCTACAATCAAATCATTTTGGAGTGAAAAGAGGCCATAAACTTTTACTTCACCATTGCTGGACTCCGGGGTTCTCTGACTTTGGTGGAATGCCTACGCAGTGGCATGCAGAGTCACTTATGGACTTTGGAAAACTACACAATAGTCTTAGACTGGTGCCACTTTTTATCCTCCTATGGGTGAGAAGAGCTTTAAGCCTTCTACCATCTGACCCTGAGGAGCCACTGTTGAGGATGCTGAGGCTCAGGTGGGTGGATTTGCTTTTTACTGATATGAATAGCATACATAATTATAGTGCATGCTCTTTCCAGTGCAAAGCACTTCGTAGGATTTCCTCATTTAACCCTCACAACCTGGTATCTATTTCACTTATTCCCTTCTTATTGATGACAAAACCAAAATATGATGGTTTGCGGAACTTACCTAGTCTCATAGACTCACAATGACCAAACCAGAAAAGATCCTGATTCCAGTGCTACCACTCTATCTAGAACATGGGTCATGTGTATTTACATCATGAGGATAAAAAATGGGAGAATGGGAGGGAACCTGGCTAGAATACAATCCCCCCTTTCAATATGCATCTTCCTCATGCTTGTAGGGTGGGAGGACCATTTGTTCTATTCATGAGAACCATGGCATCTTTACAGACATAAACATAACCTGTAAAATTCTCTTTGTAACCTCAGAGTCCAGGAAATTTTGCCAGTTACCTGTTTTCAGGGTCAGCCAAGGTCATGCTCCGGGTGACATAACACATCTTGAGGGGAATGCTTTTCCGGTCTCTATGGAAGGAGAAGGACTGAGATGACAGAGGGTCTGCAGAGCCACCCCCTAATCTAGGGGACTCAGGTGGAGGTGTTTCCCAACCAATCTCAGACACAGGGGATCCTTTCTTCACATAAGGTGTGGCTTCTCTCATGTACTTCACTGCAAACAAAAAGACAAGAAGCACTTTTAGGAATACCAGGGTTGGCTCAGCACACATACAACACAAAAGTAATGCTTATCTGTTGGTGATAATCAACAGCTGTATAATTGTCTCACCCAGTAGAAGGAAACACATACCAGGTACTGTAAACCCAGCCAAGAATCAGGGAAAATACTTACCTTTGTACCCATAGCGTAGTACAGAAGGCTACTACAGAGATCTACAGTTTGTCAAAATGCAGCCCCCAAACAACTCTTACACCCAAGGCTCACAACGGTGAAGAAGAAGATTGTAGGTGGAATGATTGTAGGAGCCACAGGACCAAGACAACTTCTGCTAGCTAGTGTCTTCTATACATGGCAGAGAAACTGCAACCATGAACTCTCAACAGTATGGGCGCCTTCACAAGATTGCGCCCGTTAACATACCAACATGGATGGGGCAAAATTCAACAAGGGCTCACCTCCTAGATAAAGGAGGGAGAGTCAGCTTTCTTTAGGAATGGGCCCCCAATTGGTTTCCCAATATTAGTTGTCAGCCACGAACACATGTACTTACAAGCAACACTACTGAGGCTCAGTAGATTTTGAGTGTGTGTGTGCATGTGTGTGTGACAATAATAAGCTTAGAATAAGGTCATGAATTTGAGAGTAAGTAGTTGACAGGATGCAGAAGAGTTGAAGAGGGGATAAGGAGGGATGTGGATGATATAAATATCCTTTATTCACATACGAAATCCTCTGAAGAAAAAAACCCAGCAAGTTGCAGTTGAATTTATGAAAAATCTCTAAAAGAAACTTGACTTGGACATGCTGTTAAGCACCGAGCCTCTTAAATTCTGAACGAGATTCACATTCCTTTCAACATAATTATCCTATTATTTAAATTATGTACCAACGGCAATTTTAGAACTTGCTATTACAGTGTCCAGTAGTTGGGAATTGCATGTAGCTTTTTTTCAAAATTGACAATGTCTATTTTTTTTTTCCTGATTATAAGTCATATTCTGGAAGAAAGACTAAAAACAGTAGGCAGATGATATGAAGTGCAACCCGGGTTGAAAGAGTATGATTTAATGTAGACCTAGGGAATCTAGGAGTCACATCACTGCTCAGGATACTGTTATGATATCAGAAGCAAGGGTAGACTTTTCAAGTTCAATGGTGCTGAAACCATGTATACAAAGATATGAATATGAATGTCTGTAACCTAGTGGCAAAATCTGTAGAAACGGAGCCATTCTTTTAGAAGACGCAGAACTAGAAAAATAACAGGTTAAATACATTGTAATCTCTACAGGTATTAAAATGAGATAGATACAGAGATGTTGATGGAGCGAGACTTGGAAGATCTGTGGTTAGGGGAAGCACAAAGTAGACAGCAGTCTATGTACTTCAATATCTTTGTGTATAAAACCATAAATACTTGTGAATTTTTTATTTTATATTTATTATATAAACTTATATATAATATATGCATATACTAATATATATATTTATATGTCTTCAATTAATTTGAAATATGAACTCCAGGAAATATTGATAGTAATTTGTTCCGGAAATTGGAGTAAAAAGCTAACATGATAGAAATAGGCCTTTGTTACTCATTTACTATCTTTTTGCACACTTTCATATTTAACTATACAGCATGTAGCTTCTATACTCAAAAGTTGTAACATGAAGATGACTCTAGTAGGTGTCTTTGGTGCCCCATGTGGATCCTCGTGCTGTGTCCTACATGCTGTGAACTGGCTGAATACAGAATGTTACCATTTCCCTGCTCCACAGAGCTGCTCTTGGCACAAGAGAGGCTGCAAAGCCTGGGAGGCTACAGAATTGCTGCCCGACCTCACCCAGGATCACTGCCTCTAGAAAATCCTACTGAAGAAGCACAGAAGCCATGGCACGGAGCAGAATGAGTAAGTTTTATAATCGGAATAAAGAACTTAGAAAGAACCTGTAGGCATTTAGTGTTTAGTAGGAACCTACAGCTCTATGGACCTCCCTTCAAACTTGTCAGCAGAGATTACTAGGAAAAGAGAGGTCACTCACTAACAGAATATTTTAAGGAATGTGTTATTGCCGAGAACTGTGTTTAAAGAGAAGCACAGATGTAGCTCAGAACAAACGTAGAAACTGCATGAAGACCGAATTTAGCTACACAAAGTTGAAAGGGATGAGGCTTTTAAAAAAATACTGTATTTTTAATCTTATAATCTCTGTGTGTGTGTTTTGTGTGAATAATTGTGATTAAAGTTAAAAAATTAGAAAGATGATGAAGAAATGGCAAAAAAATTGTTGAGGGAGGGTGGGAGTGACTAGGGAAAGGGTCACATGGAATATCAAAAAGAAACAGAGATGGAGGAGTTGCAAGAGAGGATTGGATGTCACAAGAAGGTGGGAAGATGATGCAGAAGGAGAATCTACTAAATCTACAGACATGGCTCAAAAGTGTCGCGATGATACCGAACACCCTGTATGATAATCTGAGAGATTCTACCCAGCAGTACCTCAAAGCAAATGCTGAGACTCACAGCCAAATTTTGGGCAATTCTTAGGGAGTCTTGTAGAAATGTGGGATGAAAGAGAAAAGGAACTGGAGGTGACAGAAGTTCCACAAGAAGTCCAACAGAGCCAACTAACCAGGGCCCAGAGGGCCTTGCTGAGACTGATGCATCAACCAAGAACCATTCATGAACTGGACCTACGTCCCCTACAAAGATGTAGCAGATGGGCAACTTAGCTTCATGTGGGTTCTCTAGTAAGGGAAATGGGGACTGATTGCAATTGGTCAGGGACTCACTTGCCAGCCTTTTGATCACTTTCCCCTTGGGGACTGCCTTATTAGGCCACAGGGGAAGAAGACATGCTCAGCCTTGATGCAACTTGATGAGCTGGGGTGGATGGGAAAGGGAACTCCCCTTTTCTGAGGAAAGTGGGAGGGGGAAGGGAGAGAGTGAGGGTGAGACTGGGAGGGGAGGAGGGATGGCGCTACAATCAGGAGGTAAAGTGAATAAAAAATAAATTAATTTAAAAAATGACACTTTCATGTTTCTGCAGATGGTAAAAACTGCTTGGATTTGTGAATTGCAGAATTATGTTTACTGGTATGCAGGAAATTCAAGCATCAACTGGGATAAGGAGAACTTGTTTTTTTTTTTTTTTGGAAGGCATGCTTATCACTCACTCTGGCTGGAGATGAGAATGAGTGTTTCAGAGTGAGACTCGAGGTTGCGGCATGAGTAAGTGGTATTTGAACTCAGCCTTAAAACGTGGCTAGCACTTTAAGAAACAGAAGGATAATGATGGTCCTCTTATATAACTCACTCTGATTTGCAATTCTGATTGCAGTTCCATAGGAGAGGAAAATTTGATCTCAGTTTGCAAGAAGGATGAGGAAAAACATTTGTAGTGCCCTTAATCACGGGCCGAATATCTAACCAGGTTATTTATGTGGTGTCCTATAGCTGAGATTCGCAATTACTATTTACGAACTCACTTTATATTTGTTAGGGAAACCAGGGTCTTTAAAAAATATCTAAGCTACTATTAATTCATTGTGTTCATGGACCCACAGGAAATAAATATAAAAATATAGTTACTCTTTTCAGAAAAGTCTTGTAGTATTCTAATTCTGAAAAGTACACAGGTTATCCTCGCACTCAGTGTTCTTACATAAATCAGCCACTGACATTTGGAAGGTTGTTATCTAGGGGCTCATAGGGTAAGTAATCACTGAGCCCTAGTTTGTTCATCCAGAAATGCTCTTCCATGAAATCCAGCTTTGCCACTTAGACGAAAGATGCGCAAAAGTTGGTAAGTTTGGATTTTATTTTAGATAGTGGCAATAATGGTTTCTAGTGAGTAATACAGTAGCCCAATTACTGGCCAGTTGTAAAGAGAATTCCTGGACAGTGGACTGGGCTACCTAAGGGAAAAGATATTAGACATAGGTCGAGCAGTTCTGGGGCCACAAAGGATTACCCTCAGTGATAATCCAAGCATTATTCTAAATATCCTGCTTAGGCATAAAGAATGCTAGAAATATGTGGATTGGTTCACTTGTGGGAAGAATAGATAAGCATGCTGAAATCTTAGCCTAAAAGCAAATATTTACCGAGTACCCACTTTCTATGTGGCACAGAATTAGAGTAATTTACATAGAAGAGATGGCATGGCATTGCCTTGAGGAAGGTTTGCCTTATTGGGGATACCATTTCATGAAGAGTGATGCTTTTAGCCAGCCAATAGAATTCAGACAGAGAGGATACATTAAGGTGGTAAATATGATAACCTAAAAAATCGTTCTTTCATCAAAACTTATCAGTTCATTTTTATGTACAAAGGATTGTGCAGCCTGTGAACGATAAGGAACCATCCCAATTAAAGTATTTTCAAGTCTAGGGAAGAGGAAGTTGGGAGGAGCAGGAGGTATGAAGGTTTGTGTTAAAATTTAAGCCTGAGTTAAGGAGGTACCACACTTCAGAGATCTCCAGCTGCTTCACGGAATCAAATGATTTTTCTTTATGGAAGAAAGCAATTCCATCCTATGCAAAGAGTGCTGAGAACCATTTCTAGAGGCAATGAGCTGGTGTAAAAAGCAAAGAAAATGCTGCACACTAGGAAACAAGGTACCAAGAGCACAAGCAATTGATGGTAGTAACAACCATATGTACGTAAAAACTGTAGGAGGGTAGTTGAAAGGGACAAACATTAAGAGAGTTTTCCAGAGAATATTTAGAGGACTAATCTAACCCATGAGTTAAAAAGCAATCAAGATGTCTAGTGATATAGTGATGGTGGTGATGATGATGATGATGATGATGATGATGATGATGATGATGAATTCTCAAATTAAAGTTCCATTAGAGAGGCATGTCAGAAGAAGGAACTAGTGAATGATGAATTAAAAGACTCTATACAGAAAAAAAAATGGCTCAATGGTTGAGAGCATTCTTACATTTTTACAGAGGACCTAAGTTCCATTCCCAGAGAAACCT